GTTTTTGTAGGGAAGATTTTGTACATTTTGCTGAAACTTGTTTTAAGAACTTTGGGGATCGAGTGAAGTACTGGATCACAATCAATGAGCCTAACTTACTCGTAGAATTGGCCTACATAGAGGGGATATTTCCACCGTCTCATTGTTCTGAACCTTATGGAAACTGTTCCGTTAGCAATTCTAACATGGAGCAACTCATTGCAATGCACAACATGTTACTGTCACATGCCAAGGCTACCAATCTCTACCGCGAGTGCTTTCAGGTAGCCCCTGTATATAGTATTACATTTGATAATTTGATTAATGAAAGTGATGTTGTTGCAGCCAAAACAAGGTGGATTTATAGGAATTGTGGCATGTGCATTCATGTACGAGCCAATGACAGATGATGAACTTGACAGGGAAGCTGCAAGTCGGGCCTTGGCTTTTGATCTGGCCTGGTAAGGGCTGCTAAGATTTTCAATGTGAGAATTATCACCAAAATTAAGGACAGGCCACCAAAATATGCCAATTCAAAAAGCACTGTGAAAACTAAATAAAAACTTTTCAAAAAACATTACGCAAGAGTCCAAAAGCAATACAAGGATTTGGTTGGTGGATAGTCCGGTCATCTACGTGTGGACAACCGCCATTTGTTGATGTCTACCTAATTGGATAATAGCTATTGGTTTGTGCTTGGAAATATAATTAAAAAAAAAATGTAGTGTCATATCTTGCTTCAAATGAAATGGTGATAAAAATGGCTCATATTTAGTACTACTCTAGAAAATTTTCAGAATTTAGTCATTATTACGATGATCACATTTGTGTAATTAAATTTTTTTAACATGTCAAGTTTTACTATTGTTTTGATTTAATGGATTTCACTTACATCTTTTATCGATGCAGTGATGACAGAAAAGATTTTTGACCCACAAGTAGTTATTTACCATTGTGAAACAGGGTATTTGATCCCCTAGTATGTGGAGATTACCCTCCAGAAATGCGGCATTACCATGGAAACAAATTACCTACCTTCTCTCCTGAAGAAGTGAACTATATAAAGGGCAGTATCGACTTCATCGGCATTAATCATTACTCAACTTATTATGCCAAGGACTGCATTCATTCTAGTTGCACCCTTGTAGTAGGGGATGGTGAAATCATAGGGTTTTCCTATATTACCGGGGAACGCAATGGTGTTCGAATTGGAGAACAGGCATGAAAAATTTGGAATGCAAGTTCTGTCCAAATATATGCTAATGACTGCTTAATAAGTGGTCATTAGTTTTGATTTTCCTGTAAAAGTATGTAGAAATATATAGAAGTGTAAGAGAATATGTGGCGTATCTCTTGTTTTTGACAGACTGGGATGGTGGGAATGTACGTAGTTCCCAGAGGCATGGAAGAGATCATTGATTATGTTAAGAAAAGATACCAAAACAAGCCTATATTTGTGCTTGAAAATGGTGAGTAATTAAAATAGCACAGTATTTTTTTTATTATTTAGAAATCAGGTTGTTTTGCAAGGATTGAAGCCAACTGGATTTCAAGTGATGCTTAGGCTGTGTTTGGATCTTAAATTTGAGGAGGGATTTGTGCGGGACAAATTAAAAAATAACAAAAAAACTAGCGTATATTTCATTCATTTTTTTCTTCTATTTTCTTATATGTCCATAAATCTCTCATCAAATTCAAAATCCAAACTCTGTCTAGTACATAGTAAGCAACTATTTATTTTGCTTTGTGTTTTGAAAATTAGTCTGTTTCATTTGGTACTCAGGGTATGCTTAACAACAAGAAGGTATTCCAGTGAAAGACTTGCTGCATGATGTGAAGCGAATTGAATTTCACAAAGCATACCTTGCTTCCTTGGCAACAGCAATCAGGTTACTTTATTCTCATCACTCTTTTTATTTATTCAACCAAAAGCCTTATTAAAAGTTCAGAATTTAGTATGCTTCTTGTATATCTTGCCTTATGACACAACCTAATCACAAAAAATGCCATAGAACCCTTAGGGGATGTTTGATTGGAAGGATTAAAGTATGGGATTAGGATTATTAATCCGTGGGCCCAACCATCCTATGTTTGTTTTGACATTTGGTTTAGGACTATTAATCCAATGGATAATTAATCCAACAAATTTGTAGGATAATTAGTAATGGGGTAGGGGTGGGATAGTTAATACCACACTAATTTGATAGGATTATTAATACCTCACTATTAGTATTGTGAATCAAACATGGCCTTATAGGAGTCTGTTCCACCTTTTATGATCGAGTTTTGCTTTCCTATGAGCAAAGGGGAAAAAATAAATTATAAAATGTGGTTGATTGTAGGCCTTTCACTTTAAAATAAAATCATAATTTAACATTTTTTTTAATTACAAAAATATACCAACACATCATTGTGATGAAAAAAATGATGTACAAAAATTAAGAAAAAAATTGTAATTTTTTGGTTGATAGGAATGGTGCTAATGTACGTGGATATTTCATATGGACATTGATGGATGATTTCGAATGGCTAGATGGTTACAGCGTGGGATTCGGACTTTACTATGTTCATCGGCCCACTCTAAAACGAATACCGAAACTATCAGCTAAATGGTATAGGAATTTTCTAACAAACACTACTACTACTAGTCTTACTAGCCTCCAAGATAAGGTTGTAATGAGTAGGACGAGTTCATTCAGGAAAAAAAAAAAAAAGTCATAATCTCAGGATTAAAAGCCGATCAGGCACTAGTGTAATATATTGTTGCTCTGTGAACATGTATGCTAAAATATTTTGTATTTTCCTTCAAACTTCATGCCTTTTGTAATTGTTGTTTTTTAATTTCTGTCTACATTCATCATTTTTCACTTGTTAATTTTTTTGCAATATATTATATATTATATATATACATATATTTAAATTTAAATTCTTACCACTATCTAAATCTTAAAATTTTCATATATTTAGCATCACACGAAATCATGATGTTGTTGTGGTGTCTCTTTTGTAAGGCCCAGAAATCCCGTGAACCATGGACTATGAATTGATATTTTTGACGAGGACATCACACAAACAATAAATGCAACCTACTGGGCTTCACACGTCACATTATGGATTCATACCTAATTGAAAAGGCCTGGCCCATCACAAGGAATTCCAATATACATAAATTAATGTGAAGAGCCCATAGGCCTGCAAACTTTCCATATGTTTTTTGAAGCAGCCTGTTTGCTTGAGCTTTAGTTTTCTCTTCGTTTTTCTAAACATATATAGTATTAGAAAGATAATTAAAAGTTGACTTTTTGATTTTTTAAAATTTTTTTCACTGTTTTATGTGAGATGTGATATGATCCAAAATAGATTAAAAGTTGACTTTTACTTTTTAACCCATATTCGCAAATGACCTCATAACAATAAAAAGTTCAATAACAACACCAACTAAAAAAAAAAATGAAATGATTCATGTTTCCCAAATGAAAATTTTAACAGGGGAGAAGTCAGATGACAAGGAGACTAACTAGGCCGCATGAGGACCTTCTCAGTCTTCAGGCCCATAACTGTTTAAAAAAAAAAAAAACATGTGAAAAGCACTTTGAAGGTGGTCAACAACTTAGTTTTCAAATTATTATCTGCAAAATGTTTCCTCTCTCTCATACCACATTCCGATTTTGTTTTCTTGTAATAATGGCATGCATCAATTACTTTGGACTAAAAGGACTTGTTTGCATGACAGGAATCAAAGATCAGGATAAATATTTTATTGTTAAGAATTTAATTTTTTATAATTTGATAGTGAAGTAATCTCATTGAAGAGTCTGCATAATTTAGGAATTTAATTCTTTCACGTAGGTTTTTTTTTTTTAATCTCATATGAGTGTTTCGTTTTGATCTTTTTAGACATAAAAATGTGAGATTATTGGAAAAATAAGGGATCAGATTTTCATTCAAATTGCATCCAAATAGTGGAATCATGAAATTTAGAATCATACTCATTACCCCGAAGAGTACTGTCATTTAAACATTCACAAATGCTCCTGAGTTTGTACAACTGCTTTAGCTTAGCATGACTTGTATTTTGCAAAATACTTCGATATAATTAAGCCAATACTATCACTATTGAATATTATTTCTTCATTTTTATCACGTGGTGCAAATGAAAAAGTGATTCTAATGATATCTACTTGCAACCGCTAACTTGCTGGAAACAAAAGTTGAGTGTAACAGTGATATCACGTCATCGGTATCACCATTCAATCCCCTTTTGTCATTTATTGAAAATGAGGTTCACTTGGCATATGTAAGTTTATTGTTGATTAGTGATACACATCATTAGTATTACCGTTATACTAGATTTTTACTCATGTAGAAGACGGTATCCCTATTTTTTGAGATTGTTTCGGCTATTCCATCAATTTTGACTATTTTTTAGGATTCCGTTACTTTCCTGCCAGTATTAGTGCAAGAGCAACAATATATAAATAAAAAAAATTTACAAATTTTTTATACATCATTGGTTCGATGTACACCTTTTATTATAAAATATACCATTGTTATGGAGTTTTTTTTTATATATGAGTTGAATTTTCTTTAATGGAATTGGCGCATTAACTTTTAGGATAAAGTTGGTAGGAATATGTGGTGTTTAGATTTTGACATAAAGTTAATGGGTACTGAAATAATGATATATGTGGACAGTTGCATTGTTTTATGTACAATTTTTATTAAAAAAATGGTTTGGAAATTAGTGTGTGCAACCATATTATACACAACACTTTATCATTCATTATTATTTTAATCTACTAATAAATAAGCAAATCCCAGCAAAAAATAAATAAATAAACCAATGAAAGTGACAACCAACCAATCCATCTACTTTTATATCACTCTCTTGCCCAACTTAAAAGTAGAGTGAGCACCTGGAGGTTCATGTCCAATTTGACTATTCTCATTTTAATTGCAATTATGTTTGTATCTAAAATCTGAATAGAAATTATTATAAAGCAATAAAAAATAAAAAATAAAGAGAAAAATATGTATAAAACATAAATTTATTTTTTAATAATTCAAACACAGCCTTGAACCTGATTAATATGTAAGAGTCTCACCCTGAGCGTCACCTTGATGCTCGTACTTTGCCCCAAGGCCTTTCTAGGTACTTTAATGGTGTGTGTTTGGTTGAGGGATTTGGGGAGGGATTTAGAAAGGGGAATGGAAAAGGTGCGTGAAACTATGTGAAATATAGGCATGATTTATTCATATTTCACCTACCTTTTCCATTTCCCTTTCCAAACCCCTCTCCAAATCCCCCAACCAAACATAGCATAAATATAACTGTTTTTGCACTTGGTGTGTCTCCAAACTAAGCAAAATGAAAGTCATCATCAGTACCCAGTTCTTCTACTGCTGCTTTCTTCTTCTCCTTCTATGGTTTTCTGTTTTTGTTGAAAGCTTCAATGAAGAAGAACAAGATGACATCAAAAGATCACAATTCCCTGAGAATTTCTTCTTTGGAACAGCCACTTCTTCATATCAAGTCAGTCTCTCAACTCTTGTTTTTATGTACTTTTCTCTCTTTTAGTTGAATTTAGACTCTTTTTTTTTTGGGGGGGGGCATAATTGTCTCAGATTGAAGGAGCATTTCTTGAAGATGGAAAGAGCCTAAGCAATTGGGATGTTTTCACCCATCGCCATGGTAAGAATAAAATTTTGAAAAAAGCAAAAAAGTATACATAATCTTTCATAATTTGTTTGGGGTTTTCACTGATTGGTGTATTGAATTTTCTATAAGGTGCAATAAACAATGGTGAAAATGGTGATGTTGCTGAAGATCACTACCATCGCTACTTGGTAGTATTCAAAGTTGAATTAGTTTCAAGTTAATTTCATGCCCAAAAAATGGATAAAAAGTAACTGTTTTGTTTGATTTCCCACAGGAAGACATTGAGCTAGTGCATTCACTGGGGGTAAATGCTTATCGATTCTCAATTTCATGGTCCAGAGTTCTACCCAGTACGAGTTTCTCAAATTTTTCTCTGTTAGTTTTGTAAATCTGATTGGCTCTTGTTATTTGATGATTTGATGATATTTGTCTGAGTTGTGTGATAGGAGGGAGGTTTGGAGAAGTTAATCCGAATGGGGTCATGTTCTACAACAATATTATAGATAATCTCTTAGTCAAAGGTACAATCTGTGCAAACTTTTGATTTAATCACACACCCATCAATTTATGTTATTTTATTTTTGTGCTATTTCATTTCATAAATATATATACTTTGACAGAATAGAGTCATAATGCAGGAATTCAACCATTTGTGACCATAGCACATCATGATTTCCCCCAAGAGTTGGAGGACAGATATGGGTCTTGGCTTAGTCCTTTCATGCAGTATGTCCTAATTGGATCTCATACTTTTGTGGGCTAATTTCACTTTTCTTTCTCAAAACATGTTGTTTGTTTCATTTTGCTCTCAACATTTCAGTTGGGTCAACGCATTATAGCGGTCCCCATGACTAAAACTGTAAATAGTCATCGTCACAACATTAAGTAATATATATTTTAAAATTACACTTGAGAAGTATTAGTTACTTCTTTTTTTTACTTATGACTATCTTTTGTGTTCCTTGTAGGGAAGAATTTGTTCATTATGCCGAAACCTGTTTTAAGAGTTTTGGGGATCGGGTGAAGAATTGGCTGACAATCAATGAGCCAAACTTGTTTGCAGACATGGCCTACATTAAAGGGAAGTACCCACCAGCCCATTGTTCGGAGCCTTTTGGGAATTGCTCTGTGGGCAATTCTGATATAGAGCCTCTCACTGTTATGCACAACATGTTACTCGCCCATGCCAAGGCTGTCAAGATCTACCGTGAGCATTTTCAGGTAATGAAAAATGATACTAAAATTCACATAGCTTTGTGGTTTTTTGGGAATCAAATTCAAACGCAGTTGTACTAGGCTTATACAATGATTTCACAGATTTGACACGAAGGTCGTCTATCATTTGTGTATACTTAGACTTTTGGTCCATTCATTTTTAATTGTAGCAATCAATCTTTTACAGTTATGCTTACTTGGTTTTGTATATGCAGAAAAAACATGGTGGAATGATAGGAATAGTGGGAGATGCACTCATGTACAGACCACTTACAGATGATGTGAAGGACAGGGAAGCTGCAAGTAGGGTCTTGGCTTTTAATGTCGCCTGGTAAAATTCTTCTTAAGATGATTTTTAGATGTTAAATCGCCATAGATAAGGTCAGTAGATGCTGAAATTTCGTACCCACAAAGATGTAACCCCCACACAAAATGAATATCTGGCAGTGGCAAGCATGATGATATATTAGTGGTGTTCATATATGTCCAGACAAGCACAATTATTTCTGGATGAAAGTCACTGGGCATTTCTTAGGAGGACTTAGTTTTTTTTTTTTTTTTTCGACTTATTAATGACCAGATCTGTGTATTAAAAGTTGTTTAACATCTCAATTTTCCATTAACAAGTAGTTATTTACAATTATGAAACAGGGTATTTGACCCCCTAGTATATGGAGATTACCCTCCAGAAATGAGGCAGTACCTTGGAAATAAATTACCTATCTTCTCTGCAGAAGAAACAGAGTATATAAAGGACAGTATCGATTTCATCGGCATTAACCATTACTCGACTCTGTATGTCAAGGACTGCATTTATTCCAGTTGCATCGATGGCGGAGACCGGCCAATTCGAGGCTATGCATTCATTACCCGTGAACGGAATGGTGTTCCAATTGGAGAGCCGGTAGGAAAATTTAGAAGAAAAAAATTTGTAGTTTGCAAGTCTCTTCACATTCTAATTCGGGTTCAATTTTAGTTAATTATGATATAAACTGCTCTCTTTTAAACAGACTGGGATGGAAATTTTTTTCATAGTTCCAGAAGGCATGGAGGAGATCGTTGACTATATCAAGAAGAGATACCCTAACATGCCTATATTTGTGTTTGAAAATGGTAAGTACCTACCCTTTTTTTTGTTGATACATAAGGGTTTTGACCACCCAAACTAGTCGTAATTAAATTTAAATGTGTTGATTCGCCACATGTGTTAGTAATTAATTACGGAATACCTAATAACAATCAACACAAAAATAATACACACACGAAGGACACAAAATTTACGTGATTCGTCCAAAATTAGGATTATGTTCACGTTCAATTTCACTATGACCACACAAATTACAGAGATAGTAACTGTCAACCCCGTGTCGACTAGCAAAGTACCAAACTACCCTTATTGAAGAATTTGAGTTGAGTGGTTAGTTGTACATCAGGATCTACACTACTCAAAGATCAACATTTTGATCAACTTTCCATGGATACAGTTAATGTGTATTTTTAGTGTATAGTTTGAAAATCTGATTTGTCACTTAAACTTCCAGGGTATGCTCCACCACATGAAGAGGATGTACAAGTGCAGGACTTACTGCATGATGTCAAGAGAATTGAGTTTCACAAAGCTTACCTTTCTTCTTTGGCCAGAGCAATCAGGTACTACTATTTACACTAATTACTCTGTTTACTTATAAAATTTTATAAATATGCTTTGTTGGGCATGTTTAGTTCGATATTTATACAATATTCATAGACTAATGTTCTTTGTTGAGACATTTGAGGTCGAAAAGGTTGATTTTATGAAATTTCTAATCCATTTTATTGGATAGGGACGGTGGGGATGTACGGGGATATTTCATATGGACTCTAATGGATGACTTCGAATGGATACATGGTTACAACCCTGGATTCGGACTTCACTATGTTGATCGTCAAACTCTTGAAAGAATTCCAAAGCTTTCTGCTAAATGGTACAAAAATTTCCTAACCAACTATACCCCCAACAACGACAACGAAGTGGCGGGAAAAAGTTCATTCGAAAACAAAAATGTCATAACCGCTGGATTAAGAACTGAACAAGCTGAAATATAATTATGTTTTCATGTAGGTGCATTAAAACTGTGCGTTTATTGCTCGCTTGCTTGCTTTCAATCATTTATTTACAAATTTCAATGAAAAACCATTGTTGTGCTATTTATTAATAGCAGCAATTGAAAAAATGCTTCCAAAGATTTTAGTTATGGCTGCGATTGGCAACATGAAGGTAGATCCGATCTATTGTATGAGGACAATATTGTAGAAATCAGATCAGGCTCATCTGAAATTGACTTTTTATTTAGTTTTTTTATTAGTTTTTTTTTAAAAACAAAAAAAAAACAAAAAATCACTCCTTTAGGTTCTACTCAACTAGATATACCAGAAATATAAAAATAAAAAATAAATTTTTTTGAAAAAAGTACAATAAATATATTTTTTAGATCCTTCTCTACTAGACAAATCTCAAAAGGGAAAATTTTTGACATAAATTTAATAGTAAAAAAAAATAAAAAAAACCTAAACTTAAAAAAGTTAGAATTTTTTTTTCAATAAAAATTATCCTGATGCCAAGCTCAGTCTAAACTGTATTTTGGTTAACCTAAAAGTTTGTCCACCTTAACGTTGTGTTTGGTTGGGGGATTTGAGGAGGGATTTAGAAAGAAAAAAGGGAAAAGTTAGGTGAAATGTAAATAAAATATACATACATTTCACATAGTTTTACACACCTTTTCCCTTTCCCTTTTTAAATTCCTCCTCAAATCTCCCAACCAAACATAGCATAACCGTTGGACCAATGAAAGATATGCACAGCCGACGCCCATGTAAGCCTGTTAGGTCAAGATCACCATTTCTCAGCACGTGGTCGGCGGGCCATCCAGGCCGCCCAACCTAATCACCTGTTTAAGAGCTTGGAATTTTGTATTCAACAATGATTCATCCCCCTTTTCCTCCCACCCCCTTTGACCCCCTCTCTCTCTCATTGGTTACATTTTCTTTTTCTTTTTCTTTTTTTTCCTGCTCCTCCAATCACCACCCGCCACGTGGCAAAAGGGGGTGAGAGGGTGACCCCCAAAAGGGGATCCCAAGCATTATTCTTTTGTATTTTAGCCCGTTTAACCCACTCAAGTTATAGTTCTGATTGAAACTCAAATTTTAATTTATAATTGTCAGCACCAAATAATTGAGACAGATCATAGTCAGTTTAATATTTTTTGGTACTGTTAAATGGACCTGCATTAATTCAATTTGGTCCACACCACACATAAGCGAAGTGACTTAATCAAACCCCTAGATAAGGTAGGCCCACTGATCTACAGGTCCAAGCACTGGCTGCAATTTGAGCCATCAATCAGACTCCAACCACCACCAATTAAACTCACACTAGATTTTAAATATATATGTATATATTTAAAATGGAGTAAAATTTAAGATGATTTTATAACATTGTTAATTTTTTATTTTTACACTGTAGTGAATGGTAAAAAATAGTGGTCAACTTTGGAAGTCACAATTATAGGATTGTGCCTGTTTGGCAGAAATTATTTACAGCTTATTTCAGCTTTCAGCTTAATTTAAGCTATTTTGATGTGTTTGGTTTAGCTTATAGCTTATAGCTTATAGCTTTGTGGAAGTCAGAAATCAGCTTATTCTTTAAGTGGGGCAGGAGATGCTTTAAGAATAAGCTGGAAATCAGCTTAAGCTGAAAGTTATAAGCTATAAGCTGTTTAGGCATAAGTTATAAGCACTTTCCCACAGCTCTATCAAACAGGACTATTGTCGGAGTTCGCCGGAGGATTGACCGATGTGTTAGTGGTGATGGAGTATAGGAAAGTGTAAATTTTGTTTTAAAAACAAATAATTTTTTTAAAAGTATTTTGGAATAGATTCCACTTTTATGAAAATAAAAACCTTGCTAGTTTTCAATTTTTTTAAAAATATTTTGGAATGGATTCCACTTCTATGAGAAAAAAAAATGAAATATATCAAATAAGTTTTTGTTTTCAAATTTTACAAAAATTAAATACCGAACAACATGACATACATGGATATGATGCATTACTTTACTAACAACTAGGTAATTTTAAGAAAGATAGTATAAACAAAAAAAAATTTATATACAATCTTTATATAGAATTATATGACTCAAAGTAATTTTTTTATTTTAAAATAAAAATAAAATAGTTTTATTTGCAAAATTGATTGATGACGCATAATAATTTGTTGTGAGGATAAATATATACTTGTATGGATAAGGTTTTTTTTTTAAATTTAGAAATAAAATGTGTAAACATTAACCAAAAAGACCATAAGGTTAAGATTGAGACTGGTAGATAGTGGTTGGTTGCGTGCACAAAAACACTTTACTAGAATCATCTGGGTCAGGTAGCACTTTGTTTAGGTGAGACCAACTTTGATGATCGAAGATAAAGAACAGTCTATATATTCATATAGGAAGAAATGCAAGAAAGAAAAAGAGGAATAATTAATGAGTTTGGGAGTAGAGATAGTAGTGATGGCAGTGTTGGGACTATGGGGAGTTTACTTGAGACCATTGATGATGAGATATGCTGGTGAGATGATGGAAGTGATGGGGTACGCGATGCACGGGATCATCACTGGGAGGCCTTCTCTAGCTCTCTCTACTTATCTTCCTTACTCTGCTTCTTTTCTTCATGGCTTCTACGGCTGATCTTCAATCATGATTTAAGCAGCACCAGCAGAACATCAACAGGTTTCACAGAGAGAGAGAGAGATTTTTAGGCTTAGAAACAGTTTTTATAAGCACCATCTTTTTTTTCTTTTTCTTTTTTTATAATATTTAGAGGAAATATTTCATGGGTTCTTTACATATTGCTGTCTCTAATTTGTTTCGCTTTTTATTTTATTTTATTTTTTTATATTTATTTTCATTGTAACTAACAATTTTTTTTAAAAAAAATTTATTTAGTTTGGGAAGAAGTGTTGAATGCAGTGAAGAGGGTTAATTATTTTGGAATTACTTCATAATTTTTTGATAATGAAGAATGAATACTGATTTTATATGATCCCATCTATGTTTCATCCTGTCAAATTATTTTCTGTATTTTTAGCACAACTATTGAATAAATCAACTTACACATCAATAAGAGATTAATGGTTTAAACCTTATCATAAGCAGAATAATAAAAATAACCCATAGGCACAGGAGCGACCTTGTCATTTTGATCATGGGTTCGACTATAGTACCCAAAAGTGATTTTTGGGTATCATACATAAAAATGAATTTTAACCTTTAGATGGAAATCTTTAATCTATTGAAAAAATAAAAAAAAATAAACTGGTTGAACCAGTCACCACACAGCTAGCACTCTCTCTCTCTCTCGATTGTGTTCTGTCTCTTTCTCTCTCTACAGTAGACCTACCCATGTGTTCTGTTATGCTCTTTGAACTCAAATTCATCGGCCACAAGGTTAGGACAAATCTAGGAACAAAATCGTTGATTTCTATCTCAAAAACCCTTGTGCTCGCCCACCCTTCTCTACTCTCACGGCAATGCTGCTGATCTAGGCCAGCTTTGCGACCTCTTTGTTCAGCTCAAAGCCAATCTCAGAGTCAATCTCATTGGGTCAGCTTTTTTCCCCTTTGATTTTCTCATATATATATATATATATATATTCAGAGTTCCAAGTTTTTTTTTTTGTTTTGTTTTGTTTTTTTTTTTTAAAGAAATTCTTTTTGGGTTTCTCTTCATTTCTATATATATGTATATATATTTGATTTTTTTTACTTTTTTTTAATAGTTATCTTAGAAAATCATATATATAATGTACGAGCACGAAATAACGTTCTCGTATAATCCTGTTGATTAAGTCTGCGCTCCTCCAAACGTCGTCGCTTTACTCCTTAAAAACCCAAACGTGAGTTAGCCGGCGGGTGTGTGCCGGATACCTCTCCGATGCCTAAGTCAGCAAAATAAACAAATAGACAAAAACTCTGTATATTCGAGAATCAAAGTTGTGATACCTGTACGTAAGTCCTGTCATGAGCTTTTATAGATTTTGTGTGGCACAAATCCTAGTAGGATTCTAACTCTCCCTATGAGAGTCCTCTTAGGAATCACATACCCTACTCACTACCAACCAAGTGAGATGGTTTGTACAATCCTAATAAGACTATATTTCCCTTAACAGAGTCCTCCTAAGAGTCTCATCACTGCAAGCCAAGTGAAATGACTACCACGGTTGAATAACAGTATGACCGAGCTAACACTAGCCCTTTGACATACTCAATCCGGTGCTTTCAAATGCAACACCTAGCTTGGTCATTGTATCTCGGTTTGGGTTGTTTAAACCGAACTAACTGCAGCAGTCTCTGACCGAGCTAACAAGGGTGAGATCCAACATTGCGAAGCCCAAACACCTCGGCCCATAGCTCGGCCCGAACTTCACCTAGTCCTAGCTCGTTTAACTTTAAGACCGAGCTACACCAGCTCTTACCCCGGCCCAACGTGCGGCCCATCTTCTAAAGAAGGCCCTTCCTTAGCTCGACTTATTTTATTTATAAATTACCCTCTCATATAATTATATGTATTGATTTTTTTTTTCTTCTGATTTTTAGAAAATCTTTGATATGATAAATTTCATGAATTTTGTGGCTTTTGGGTTTTGGGTTTCTCTGCATTTCTAATAAACCTCACATTTCCCCCTTTCCCTCTCAAATATGTTTTTACAATAAGAACAAAATGATGCATCACCCAAAACCAATCCAACCCATATACTATAAATTCATATTACACATTCTAAAGAACTCTAGCATCCATTAAAATGTTTTTTTTCCCTCCCTCCTTTTGTTAAGTTGTTGAAAATTTATCTGATTTGGGTGACATGTGAATGAGGGTTTGAGCTAGGAAGAGATCAACCTCAACTGAGAACAAGAAGTCTACATAAAGGGTTTGAAAGGTAATTATTTTTGTATGGAGACTTCAGTCGTTCTTATGATCTAATAATATATTGATATTGATTGGATTTATATTAATATATTTTTATTCCTCAATGTGTTTTTGTATGGTATTTTTTTGGGTTTTTGGTATGTGATTGGAAGTGGGATTTTTTTTTTTCCTCAATCACTTTAGCTGCCTTGTAATTTGCATTAAAGCAAAAGGATAGTATCCCAGATGCGAAATGCATATGCGACTAAATCACCGAGTTTTCAATTAGACACTTGAATGGCTTCCACAACAAAGTAATGGATATGGGGTACTTGGCATTTGAAGAATGGCACTTGGCACTTGGCACTTGGATTTGAAGAATGACACTCGTTATCTGTTTGCTATCAGTTTGGTTTGCTATCTGCTGTTGTGATTTGCTACTGTGAATTGGGGTGGATGTGCTCAACTAAGGTGCCTTGGGATTAATTGTTGAAGGATTCAGTAGGAGATGAATTTTGCAAATTGTTTTTTTTTTTTGCTCTCCTTTGTGGTTTTGCTCTTCTTTATGGTTTGTCTTTTGCAAATTGTCTTTTGCTCTGTTCTGAATTATAGTGCCTTAATGTTTGCAGTTGAGATGGGCTGGAATTATAAATGTTACATCATTGAGTTTTAGAATTGATGATATCATCTTCATTACCAATGTTATATTCACCATCATTAGTATTATCATCATCTAATTCATATATAATATTATTAATTATGATAATATTTAACTCGGTTTAAAATTAATTATTGTCATTTGACCAATTAAACAGAGGAGAGTGGTGATGAAATGGAGGGGTTTAAGCAAATTTCAAACTAGTAAATTTGAATAAGTTCACAATTTCAAATTAAATTTACAATTTAGTATTTTTACTCAATCTATTTGCCAAATAGCTTTTGTGTTCGTGACAAACTATTATATTGTCACCAATACGGTGAGTATAATCACAATAAGTAGTGCATATTGTCTCATATAGTAGTAAGTGTTGACATTATAAATGGTTAAGTAGAGTCGAGACAAGTGATAAGTAAAATTTGAACGAATGGTAGGTATTGTCTAAAGTAGTAGTGAGTATTGACATTATAAATGGTAAATAGAGTTATAATAAATAGTAAGTGGAATCTGAATGAATGGTAAATATTGTCTGAATCAAACATGACTTACTACTAAACAAGACTCTACTTACTATTTCATTAGACTTAATTTACTACTCACATAAACCCTACTTACTATTTTATTAGACTTGACTTACTACTCACATAAACCCTACTTACTATTTTATTAGATTTGACTTACTACTCAATTAAACTCTACTTACTACTCAATAATACTCTACTTGCAATAAAATCTGACTTTACTTACTGCTCTATTGGAATTGACTTACTACCTAATCAAGACATGTTATTACGCAATAAGACATTAATTTATTGGACTTGCCTTACTAAACCTCTCTTATTAGTTAATGAGGCTCCACTTACTATTTTATTAAATCTCACTTATTACTCATTAAGACTTCAGTTATTATTTTATTATATTTGACTTACTATTAAATTAAATCTCACTTAATAGTCGATAAGACTCCGCAGCTACTCAATTAAATTTAACTTACTACTCAACACTACCATGTTATTACCACCACCACTACTATCATCACCTTCATTAACATCGTCATTATTTCCACAAACATCATTAAAATTTTATTGCCACTATCATCGCTACCTCACTACTAGAAAACAGGGCTTTTGAGTCGGCAGCATGCAGTCGCAAATAGCGTATTTGCCAACGCAAAAACTTTTTGCGACGGCGTTTCGACGGCAACTCAAGGGACGAAAATGGTAGGGTCGCAAAAAGTTTTTGAGTCGGCAATCTGCCGACGCAAAAGGTTTTAATTTTTTGAGACAGTAGATTGCAGACTCAAAAAGTGGTTAAATGTTTTAAAAAATTTAACTCATAATTTTCTCATTGAGGCTCCCAAGTTTCGAACACACACCATTTGGACAATTTGACCCGAGGTCACCGCACTAAATCTACTTCACCACCATACCTCTTTCAGATATTAAACGAGATATATATTATTTATAGTATATACACTCAATATTAATATAAAAGTATATGTATAAATAAATATATTTATTAAATATAATCAAGTAAATATATATATATCTTGGCTATAAATTTTTTTTTTTTGCTACGGCATCAGTTGTCGACACAAAAATGTCTAATTTTTTGCATCGGCACAAATTTACCGACGCAAAAGGTCTATCTTTTGCGTCGGTAAATTCAACCGACTCAAATAATGCTATCAAATATTAATTTTTTGTGTCGGCCAACGGTGCCGACGCTAAATGTTTGGTATTTGAGTCGGTAACTCTGTGCCGTCTCAAAAAGGCTACCTTTTGCGACGGTAAAATTTGCCGAGTCAAAAAACCGACTCAAAAGGCCCTTTCTTTAGTAGTGCCTCTACAACCATTACCACCAAGACCACCACCATCAACGCTACTATGCCATTACTGTCACCATCATGCCACTGCCACCACTATCACTGTCACCACCACCATATCACAACCATACCACTACCATAGCTACCGCTACCACCACCACCACCTTTATCAACATTATCGTTGTTTTGTTTAAATTAGGATAATTTGATTAAAAGGTACATACGAGCTCGCTTTTTCAAGTGACAGGTATTCAAAACTCTTTTCAAAACGAACATGAAATCGAAGCGTTTCAAATTTTATAAAATAGTCTATACTTGTTTGACCTCACATAGTAAAAATAGCCTGATAATCGAAACAAGAGCATATAATGTACATAAGAATCACATCATGATTAGTAGAGGTCGATCTTTGATCGGGTAAGTGGGGTGCTCAATTCATGACATTCCCCTCTTATACCTAAGTTCCCAAGCCGTGATACTTTGGTGATGACGGATAAGTGACATTTGGCACGAGTCACGGGTTTTCTAAATTTTTTAAAAATATTTAGGTGGTGACTCTAAAATCTGGCAATGTAGTCTATTTTTGGCATTTTTATTTAAAATCGATTTTTCAAAAGATTTGCCAAATTTAGACTCATTTGTGTTTATCTATTCATATTGCACTCGTAAAATTAGATTCAGAACCACGGGAGTCCGAACTGTAGGACTATCATATCCGAGGAGACTAAGCCCTTTCGAGGAGCATGAAAAGCAAGCTACAACTGTACTTACTACTTTATTAGACTTGGTAAGTTGAGTCACAAAGAGTTGCAAGTAGAATGAGAATGAATGGTAAGTGTTTTGTTTTTGAATGGTAATTAAACTCATTTAAGCCACACTTACTACTCAATAAGACTGTACTTACTATTTTATCAGACTTGACTTACCATTCATTTGAATCATACTTACTACTCAATGAGACTCTACTTACTGCTTTATCAAACTTGACTTATCAGTCATTTAAGCAATACTTGCTACTCAATAAGACTCTATTTACTATTTTATCAAACTTGACTTAACACTCATTTAAGCCACACTTACTACTCAATAAGACTGTACTTACTATTTTATCAGACTTGACTTACCATTCATTTGACTTAACACTCATTTAAGCCACACTTACTACTCAATAAGACTGTACTTACTATTTTATCAGACTTGACTTACCATTCATTTGAATCACACTTACTACTCAATGAAACCGTACTCTACTTTATCAGAATTACACTTACTACTCAATGGAACTCTATTTACTACTTTATCAAACTTGACTTATCATCCATTTAAACCGCACTTACTAATCAATGAGATTGTACTTACTATTTCATCAGATTTGACTTACCACTCATTTAAATCACACTTAGGGGTTGTTTGGGGTGTCCTAAATAAGTGCACTTTTTGTCTTTTTGGACTAAAAAGTTGAGGTTGAAAATATGAATGTTTGGGTTAACTTTTTGACTTTTTATGGAAAAATGTGTATAAAAAAATTGTATAAATTAATGTGTAGGGGAAAATTAGTATTGGGAGTTGTGCAGCCGTAATTGTTGACTTTTGGTGAATAGTGATAACTTTTTAACTTTTTGAGTAGCTTTTTAGCTTTTTGACTTTTTTGAGACTTCCCAAACTTAGCCTTACTACTCAATAAGACTGTACTTACTACTTTATCAGACTTGACTTAACACTCATTTGAATCATACTTACTACTCAATGAGACTCTACTTACTACTTTATCAAGCTTGACTTATCAGTCATTTAAACAACACTTACTATTCAATAAAACTCTACTTACTATTTTATCAGACTTGATTTTACACTCATTTAAACCACACTTATTACTCAATGAAATTGTATTTACTACTTTATCAGAATCATACTTACTACTCAATGAGACTCTACTTACTATTTTATCAAACTTGACTTATCAGCCATTTAAACCACACTTACTAGTCAATGAGACTGTACTTATTATTTCATTAAACTTAACTTACCACTCATTTAAACCACACTACACTTACTACTTTATCAGACTTAACTTACCACTCATTTAAACCACACTGTACTTACTACTTTCTCAGACTTGACTTATTAGTCATTTAAACAACCCTCACTACGTAATAAGACTCTACTAACTATTTTATCAGACTTAACACTCATTTAAATCACACTTACTACTTAATGAGACTGTACTTACTACTTTATCAGAATCACACTTACTACTCAATGAGACTCTACTTACTACTTTATCAAACTTGATTTATCAGCCATTTAAACCACACTTACTAGTCAATGAGATTGTACTTACTATTTCATCAGACTTGACTTACCATTCATTTGAATCATACTTACTACTCAATAAGACTGTACTTATTACTTTAATAGACTTGACTTACCACTCATTTAAGCCACAGTTACTCCTCAAATAAATTTTAAATTTTCCTATATTTTATTAATTATAGTTCTTCATTAATTGTATTTATTATTTTCAAGTGTGGTAAATGAAAATGGAACTAGGTTTCATTTATTTCCATTAAGTAGATAAATAAATAAATAAATAATCATATTTCATAAAATGTAATAAATTATAATAAAATGTATAAAATTCACATTTATTTTGTATATTTTTTCTTAAATTCTATTTGATAAATTTTATATTTATTTTAGAGGTTTTGAAAATTTATTATAACTTAATTTTTTAAGTTTACCTATTACCTAAATAGCAGGTTAAGTGTATTTTATTAATAATTGAATGGTAAATATGGTTATTAAAAATAGTAAGTATAATCATATCAAATAGTAAATGTATTTAGTTATTGTGGTAAGTTGAAAACCACTTTTTAATTTTAAAACTATTGAAAACTATCTTGTTTTTCACGAGACTACCTAGATTGCTTAACTTGGTTTTAATTATTACCAATCAATGGTTAGATTTATTTTACTTTTAGATTTAATGGTCCAAATTTATTTATGTATGGTACATAAAAACCAAATCCTACTCTCCATTTTTATTTTTTTTATTTTTTTTTATAAAGATTATTGATTGCGGCTGCATGATGTTCCTTTTAAGGATCGATATAAACATGTGCAAATGGTTTCATTTTAAAAGAAAAAATCTAAATTCCAAAAAGGCTGAACAGAGAAAATATATTTTACTACCTGGA